TTTTTTTTCAAAACTGGAAATGCCGATTTCATAGAAAAGCTCAAATCAAAGTACTTCTTAAAGTTACAGTTCTAGATAACGAGAGAAACTCTGTTTTGCCACTTTTAAGTGGTTTAAATTTTGGGAGAAATGGAAATTAAGTTTTGCACAAGGCATACTAACTAAAAGACACGCTCTGATTTACTAACGATCTCCTATTTGCATCCTTTCTGTTTCCCCTCTCTCTTCGCTATCTGTGTGTAACTCCTTTATTACGAGATGAAGGACTTAGGCCGAAGGTCATCTTAACCGCCTGATAGTACGCTTCAGAATGGGTTCTTCTGTGACATGCTCTTCAGACACTGCTCCGTTTGAATGTTCAATTTTTATTTATTCGGCTTGACTCCATAACTAAACGAATGCAGGCGTGGCCGTTGAGAAATGGCGAAGAAATCGCATGTTATGTAACTTAAGAAAGATGTATATTAGAGCAGCTACATACAGAGGTGTATTAGTACTCTATGCACTTAATAATGATTATCCTAATGCTTACATAAAACGCACTTTCAAATTCAAGTCAAACGAGGAACTTCTGAAATTGAGCGAAATTCTTGACCCCGTTCTGTGACTGCACAACACTGGGAATATGGCTGCAGAGCATGTTAAGTTCAATCGCAGCGGAGGAACATTTGAGTTTTCCTAACTTTTCTTTACTATATTACGCATTCTGACTCTTCCTTAAAATGAACTTTGGTCCTTTCACCAAAGAGTTATTTTTTCATGTTTTCAGGAATTTGGGGCAGAGAGAATTATCAGCTTTATGTGACTTTTGGTGCGATTTTCGAATTTCATGCGCTTTTCACATATTTTTCGTTTATTCAGCAATATGTTCCTTTATACCAAAATTTTGAGTTGAATCCAAGTTGTCCATTATCGGGTGGAAAATCGTAAATTATTCTCCGTCTTCGATCATAGCATGATAAAGACGAAAAAAAACGAAATTCAAGAAATCAAGTTTGGATGCTTGTTGACTTTTCTGCAACCTAGTTTCCGCATTCAACTGGGAAAAAACAGACGGAAACAAGATTTCTCACTGGCAAACTGCAGTTGGATGTAAGACGTTCACTGTCAGAGGAAGATCCAAGAACTTGTAACTCAAAAAACAAAGAATAAGCAAAACACCGATTTACAGTAATTGAAGTGATCCAAGTCCTCTGCGCCAAGTCCGAGATGTTGTGCAATCACAGAAAGAGTAACGAAAATTTAGCGTCGACTATATATGAACTGGTGCTGTTTGCTGCGCAGTTACCTATTTAATGCGCTCCATTACTAAGTTTGTGCTTGATTTGGATAATTCAGGAGATGAACTTGGCACTCTAGCTCGAATAGAGGGACGTGTCTTTACCCTACACAAAACCCTTCTATATGGTTTGTGTACCAATTAAAAAACAGCTTGATGCTTTTTTTTCAAATCTTTTCTACGTCGGCTACACTGAAATCGCTCCACTAGGCACCAAACACTAATTCTTTCACTTTTACTTCTATACAGTACAACACTCAAACTTCCCGTGACTTACTCGACATCGTCAATGCATTCCGAGGATGTGAGCACAAGCGAGGGAGTGATTAGTGTACCAGTGCATCCCAGTACACGAATGCCATCTTCAGCTTCTGTGAGAACCTAAATTGCTTACACGATAATGCAAGAAACTCGTACAAGACCAAATCAGAGGAGAAAGGAAAAAACCGTAAGTAAAAAGGAAGGACAGAGAGGAAGTAACACTGAAAGA